TACCGTATATGACACAAGATAACACACCCCCTGGACCGATTTTCAAAGCTCGATTACTCCACGACGAAGAGGATGCATAAATGAAACAATACGTTTTCGAACAGCTCTCGACGAGACGGTTCCAACGCCGCCGTTTTCGGCGCTGTGACTCTTCCTGCTGTTGAGAAATCGAGCTTTGAAAATCGGCCAAGGGGGTGTGTTATCTTGTGTCATATACGGTATAGTCGTGCATGCCGTAGTCGTTAGACCATTGGCCTCGCATCCCTACGAAGCCGGACGGAGCACCCCGGGTTCTCACCGGACCGCCAACAAAGAGGCGGGCGGGGGGGGGGGAGGGGAAGAAAGAGCGTGCCGCAACCGACACAACCGGTGTCCGCTCCGCTGAGACGGAAGGGGGGGCCGTTCCTACTCTGCAAGTAACCCCCCCCCCACCCCCTCAACCAAGATTGGAGTGCCCCTCCCTCTGCGCGCTATCTCGTGATCGACCAAAAACACACTACTACAACACGAAGAAAAAAAAAAAAAAAGCGATACGTTGTTGTTTGACTCTTCTCTACTATGATACACGTGTACAACCTCTTCAACCGCCCACTATTGTAAGATATCCCCCACAACACTTGACGCCCTCGCAACACATGCCGCAAAGCGCCACGTTGTTCTACTTCTGTAGACACGAAAGGGCTTACCGGTTAACCGCGGGTTGTCGGTTATGGAGAGCCAGGCCAAGTTCGGCATTTTCGCGAAGGCCTTGATAGGGATTTCCCCTGTGTTTAAGGCGCGAGCCAGGAGATGGCGAACGTGTGTGTGCGTTCGTGTCAGGGAAGAGCAGGCACAGGCAGGAGAGTTGTTAACGCGAACGGGTAAAATGCCGCGTTTGGTGGTTGTTCGTTTGTCGTCGCATCTATGCCGGTGCCAGTCTTACGTCGTTATGCGGGGGTCAAACACAGAATGAGCGGCATCTGATGTTGAGTGCTCTGCTCTCTGCTACATGCTCTCTCTCTCGCTCTCTCTATTACTCTGTCCCTCGCTCCCTCTCCCTCTCTTACTCTGTCCCTTCTCCTCTCTCTCTCTCTCTCTCTCTCTCTCTCTCTCTCTCTCTTTTTCTCCCTCCCTCTTTCGCATACTCTAACTCCCTCCCTCCCTCCTCTCCTCTCCTCTCTCTCTCCTACCTGTGAGATCGTTGCCCACACCGTTGTAGCCCAGGTTGATGTACTGCAACTTCGTCAGCATACCTAGCTCCATCGGAATCGAGCCTGATCCAACGCCATCGCCACCGCCGACACAAAGAGCCAGACAAGATAACCAGCAGCAGGAGCAAGAGCAGCAGTAGCATCATCAGTACAAAATTTTGTTTGATTCGGAAACGGTCTTGACATGAACCTAAGAACGATGGCTGGCTCGCGAACACAAACACAAAATTCCGCACAACGAACAAGTAGTCAACAAGCGGAACAGGCGCGCGCGCGGGGGGGGGGGGGGTACTCTTTTGTTTTGCATGGCTTAACGGTTAAACCGTTGACCCCCCGTCCTCCAAAGGACGGAGCATTTTTACCCCAGGACCCATCACCCATGGGCAATCCTTCCTTCCTACTTTTCCAAAGGGGGGTCAAAAATGTTTTCCCTAATCAGGGGGGGGGGGGGGGGGGGGGGGCGAAACCCCCGGGAGGGGGCCCCAACCCCCGGCCCCCCAAAAATTTTCAAAAAAACCCCTTTTTTTAAAAGGCCCCAAACCCTCATACCCCCCGGAAGGGTTTGGGGGGGGTTTTAAAAAAAATTTTTTGGGTTTAAAAAAAAACCCAAGTGAAGGGGGTTTTTTCCCCCCCAAATTGGGGGCCCCCCCCCCCTTTTTTTTT